CCCCGCTCCCAGTGTGACCATGTGCTGACTCCAACCCCGCTCCCAGTGTGACCATGTGCCGACTCCAACCCCGCTCCCAGTGTGCCGGTGTCAGCAGAGCCGCCGCTGTCGCCAGAGCTCCTGAATGCGTGGGAAGGGCAGGGCGGGGCGCAGGGGCCGGCAGAGCGCGGGGTCGCCGGCGCGGCCGGAGCGCAGGGCACAGAGCAGGGCGGCCTTGCAGGGGCCCCCGCAGGGCTCGCGGGGAGGGTGCCCCTTGTGCAGGTGGAACCAGAAGCGCTGGAAGAGCCGCTCGTCGTCCTGCAGCCGCCGCACCAGCAGGTCCCAGTCGGCCGGGAAGGCCGCGGGCAGCCCGTAGGCCTCGCGCGCGCCGTAGAGCCGCTGCCAGCGGGGGGGCGTCCCCGGGGGGGCCGCGTTGGCCTCCGTCAGGTTCAGGATGAAGGTCTCATGGTCCAGCACTGCGTGGGAGCTCCCAGGGTAGGAACCAGCCACCTCGTACACGCGGTACCCTGCGCGGGAGGGACTGTCAGTGCCAGGGACTGGGGGGTGGGGGGACATTTGGGGGGGGTTGGGGCGCACCAGGGTTGAGGTTGATGTAGGTGGTGACACTCGGTGCCACGAAGGCGATGGAGACAGGGCGTGACAGCGTCTCCTCATCGTAGAACAGCTCGAACTCATCCAGGTGTGTGTGCCCGAAGAACTGTGCTGCGATGGTGCCCTCGAACCTGCCATTGTGGGGTGAAGGGGGGCAGCATCCAGACCCACAGCCCCCTGCCCTGGGCCCCCGACCCAAGCCAGGCCTGGCCACTCACAGACCTCTTATCATGGCTCTGCCTGGCAGCTTCAGGGTCCCAACCTTGGGTGCTCCAACACCATCCCCTGCCCCCCTCCCATGCTGATGCCACCCCAAGGGGGTCCAGTGTGTGGAATTGGGGTCCAGGATACATGAGGTGGGGATCTGGCATGTGGGGAGGGGCTTTTGGTCTTTGGTACACAGGATGGGGGTCTAGGGCGAGTAGGGAGAGGTCTGACTCATGGAGTGGAGGTCCAGGGCATGGGGTGGGGGTCTGGTGTAGGGGTCCAGCATATAGGGCATGAGTGTGGCATGCAGGGCAGTGGTTTGATGTGTGGGGTGGGGGTCCAGGGCCTGTGGACATGAGTCTGGTGTGCAGGGCAGGGGCCCAGCACATGGGGCTGGAGTCCAGGGTGCAGTGTGGGGGTCTGGCATGTGGGGCAGGGCACAAGGGCAGGGGTCTGGCACACAGTGTGGGGGTCAGGGCCAGGGGTCCAGGCTCGGGGTGTGTGGCACAGGGTGGGGGTCCGGGCCAGGGCTGTGTGTGGGCACTGACCTGCTGATGATGCGGTAGTAGTTCCAGCTCCAGCTGTGCAGGCAGTGGGCCGGGGGGATGTGCCCAATGATGTGCACCTGGGGGCAGGGACCCAGGGCTTGGGGGTGCCCAGGAACCCCGGGACGCCCCAATCTCCCCCCAGAATTCCCCCCTCACCTTCTCCCCATCACGCTCAGCATCTGCCAGGACCCCCATGAGCCACTGGAGCTGCCCTGCGGGATCAGTGGCGTTGATGAGGAGCCAGAAGTTGGCCTGGGAGCAGAAGTTCATGTTGAGGGAGACGAGGCGCAGCCCGGGCCAGACCTGCGCTGTGTAGAACCCACCGGCCCTGCAAGAAAATAGCGGGGTCAGTCCTGTGCCCCTGCCTCACAGACCCCACACCTGTCCCACACACCCTCCCTCACCCATGGAACCCCCCACCCCAACCTGTGCAGAACCTACTGACCCTGCAGGGAAAGAGGGAGTCACTGCTGTACCCCCCAAACCCATGGACCCCATACTCGTCCCACAGCCCCCCAGCTACCCACTCCCTCTGCCCACAGACCCCTGCTCCCCTCAGCTGGAGGCCCCCTTGTCCTCGGCCTGCCAGCAGCTCCCTGCACCCCAACCAGCCATGAACCCTCTCCTTGCACCTCCTCTATGCACAGACACCCCCCCCGACACTGCATCATGAACCTGAGATACCCGCAGCCCTCCAAGCCCCCCAAGTCCCTGCTAGCCTGGGGCCCCCATTGCCCCCTAGCCCTGAGCCCCCAGTAGCCTAGAGCCCCCCACCAGCCCCCCCTCATCCCTGCTAGCCCAGGCCCCCCCATTGCTCCCTCCACTGCAGAACCCCCCCAGCCCTGTT